TGTCCCTGCAAAGTGGGGGGTCCCAGTGTCCCCGCACCCCCAAAACTCCTGGTGACCCCACAAAGTCGGGGGTCCCCGTGTCCCCACACCCCCCGGCGTCCCAGTGTCCCCACAGAATGGGGGGTCCCGGTGTCCCCATGGACTTGGGGGTCCTGGTGTCCCCGCCCCCCCCAGGGGTCCCGGTGTCACCCCAAAGTCGGGGGGGTCCCGGTGTCCCCATATCCCCAAAACTCCTGGTGACCCCACAAAGTGGGGGGTCCCGGTGTCCCCGCACCCCCAGAGCTCCCAGTGTCCCCACAGAATGGGGGGTCCTGGTGTCCCCACACCCCCAGGGGTCCCGGTGTCACCCCAAAGTCGGGGGGGTCCCAGTGTCCCTGCACCCCCCGGCGTCCTGGTGTCCCCATGGACTTGGGGGTCCCGGTGTCGCCCCAAAGTGGGGGTCCTGGTGTCCCCACAGAGTGGGGGGGTCCCAGTGTCCCCGCACCCCCAGGGGTCCCAGTGTCACCCCAAAGCGGGGGGTCCCAGTCTCCTCACGCCCCCCGGTGTCCCTATGGACTTTGGGGTCCCGTTGTCCCCGCACCCCCAGGGGTCCCGGTGTCGCCGCACCCTCAGGGGTCCTGTCACCCCAAAGTGGGGGGTCCCGGTGTCCCCACACCCCAAAAACTCCTGGTGTCCCCACAAAGTCGGGGATCTCCATGTCCCCACACCCCCAGGGGTCCCAGTGTCCCCACAGAGTGGGGGGTCCCAGTGTCCCCGCACCCCCAAAACTCCTGGTGACCCCACAAAGTCGGGGGTCCCCGTGTCCCCACACCCCCCGGCGTCCCAGTGTCCCCACAGAGTGGGGGGATCCCAGTGTCCCTGCACCCCCCGGGGTCCCAGTGTCCCCATGGACTTGGGGGTCCCGTTGTCCCCGCCCCCCCAGGGGTCCTGGTGTCGCCGCAAAGTGGGGGGTCCCGGTCTCCTCACACCCCCCGGGGTCCCCGTGGACTTGGGGGTCCCAGTGTCGCCGCAAACTGGGAGGTCCCGGTGTCCCCACAGAGTGGGGGGGTCCTGGTGTCCCCGCACCCCCAGGGGTCACAGTGTCGCCGCAAACTGGGGGTCCCGGTGTCACCCCCAAGTCGGGGGTCCCGGTGTCCCCGCACCCCCCGGGGTCCCAGTGTCCCCGTGGACTTGGGGGTCCCAGTGTCGCTGCAAAGTGGGGGGTCCCGGTGTCCCCACAGAGTGGGGGGATCCC